AAATGCAAAAACTTTAGAAATTGAATTTTTTAATTCTATAATTTTATTGTTTCACTTAAAATTGTTTTGTTATTTTTTTTTTTTTTTCATTTTGAGTGACTCTCCCAGACCTCCATACATTTGAGTCGCCATTTTCCAAAGTAATTTGACTATTTCTTAGTCTCTGACAAGATTTTATTCCTTATTCATATTTGTCTCCTGCGTTTTGTTGAGATTCAGGTTTAAAGAGCGGCTGTTGTTTTCCAGATTGATCATTAGTTAGGGACCTTTAGACACCTCAGTTTCTAAAAACATTGTTGTTTTGGAAACTGAGCTCCAGAATCGTTTTTGGTGGATCTAGCAGACCATGCTGCTGCAAATCTAAGAATTAATTTCTATTTGGTCTGAATCATGGTATGATATTGGCCCATGCCGACATGATCCACTTCAGAAACTGGAGTGGATCATGATCAGGCAATAAAAAGCACAGGATTTTTGGTCCAACTATAAAAGGTTGTGGGGATTTTCTAAACTAAAGGAGATCCTCCTGTCGTTTACTGCAAGTAAGATGCTGACTGCTGAGACCAATTCCATAAAACCACATTTAAAGAGTGTCATTACTTGAAAAAATATTTTCCCCTTTGGCCAGGGAGATGTAACTCCCTGGAGGACTAAGCACCAACATCCCTTCATCTGAAGATTAGACATAAAATTTTTCTGCATAGATAGAGAGCATTTACATAAACCGTTAAGGAGCAAAATAGATTTTCTCTCTACAGTAATTTGACATTTTCTGCTGCCCTGTTGGAAATTTAAATGTCTCCACATGAAGCTCTTTGCAGCTAAAGAATGATTACAAACCAAACCGTCCCCACATAGCAACACATTTTAGTTTTACAAGATTGAGCTTAAAGAGGCGCATAATGGAAACTTCAACAGTTTTCCTACCTTAGCTGTGAATCTTCTCACCGATCTGCTTCTCTTTTGTATTCAAATGAGCTTCACACAACAGGAAGAATTCATCCATCAGATTTCATCAAATAGATCAAAATTTACAAAACAAATATCACATCTCATAGCCTCTTATCTAAACACGAGTTAAATATATAAAATAATGATCTGAATGTATGGCTTCTGCATAAAATAGGCAAAGGAAAGCTTAGGATTTTTTTTATTTTCTATTTTGTTTTCCAAAATGTTTAATTTGTTTCTATATGATCCAAAATTATTTCGATCTGAAGCATAAAGAGATCATTTCCCATAAACTATAGACATGAGGTGTGCAGATGATGCTGTGCAGCTCATGAACTCTGCATCACCTCTAAATGTAAACCAGTTATCATAAACATCTCTGTTGTGGGTTTTTACACTAAAACAGTGAATCTGAAACCAAACTTGCTGAGGTGGCAGCTCGCTGAGTCATCACGGCAAGGGCGTAGGTTTGATTTGAACTTTGGTAGGGACACTATTGGTCTGGTGTCATTGGTGCTATGCAATATGCATGCCCTTTTTTATGCTCGATGTGAGCATCCGTACTGATAAGAGGAATTCATTGTTAAAAGAGAAAAGCAACATTTTGCTCCATTAATAAAAATGTTATAAGCACTACACTAATTAGATGCTGTTTATCAATGTTTGAAGTATCACCGGCTCTGATGAATGTGGAATTAGGACTGTTTTCCACTTTGAAAACGGTTTCATTTGAACGACTAAGAGAGAAGGTAAATACAGTATTTTCTTTTGAAGATATAGAATTATGCAGAGTTAAACCCCACTCTAATATTTGTACCTACTATTCTCTCTCTGTATCAAGCAAAATAATACATTCATTAAAATATTAACTTCACTATAAAAGTTGAACATCTGGGCTGTAGTTACTCTGTGTAGCCAATTTCATGTATTTAATCTGGGGCTGAAAAAAATGAATCATATTAATTGATTATTTCAATAATCGTCAACTAATTTAGTAAGTGATTCATCATTAACTGGAGTATAGAGACTTTAAAACATACAGTAATATAAATGTAAAATGTGCCTTTCCCCACAGAGCAACCCACTTAGATAAAAGTCTCAAGAACCAGGGATATTAGATTTTTTATTTTTTTACTCAAAGCTGTTATGATGGTTTAGCTCACAATCTGAACTGGGAATCGGATGCAGAACAGGTCTTTGTTGTCTTTATCTCTCATCTCCCACTCCACAACACATTTGATAGAAGGATACTCGCTCTTTACTGGTAATGAAGCAAAATTGTAAAAATAAAAACAAAAAAATGAAAACAGTAATATCAACTAAATATCAGTAAAAAGGAAACCCTCACATTTTCTTTTTTAGTTGGCTGTGGCTAAGAATCAGAAATGTTGATGCTTACAGCCTTTATTTGCAGCATTTTTCCAGCAGTCTTCAGAACTCCTGGCTGACTCAGAATATTTCGTTTTATAAAAGAAAAAAAAGGTTTTTGTTTTTAACTGTAGTTCGTTCTGCAGGAGAACTTTTGTTTCCCTCCTGTTCTTTATGCTAAAATATGAACATGGGGAATTAAAAAGTAAAAAAGTTATACTTCACAGTAGGAATGTGTGTTCACATATATTTTTTTCATAATAAATCTGTTTTTATGTTATGCTCTATGTAAGTTAACCCAGCAGTAAGTGTTTCCATTAGCTTTTTCTAATGTGCATTTTGTAGTATGGAATCTGAAAAGCTTGATGGATGCAGCAAAATTCTATTAAAAGTCCCTCAAATTTGTAAATAAGTTTTTTGGCTTTTGCAAAAATGGTACATGGAAATATGAATTTCAATTGACCTTTGATGAAGCCAATTTTTTAGCTCTCATGACTGGTCAGCTGGTTGTGCTGTCATCGTCTTACCAGATGTTTCTCTTATGCGCGTAAACATGCCATGACATGTCAACCTAAGAAAAACTACATTGCAGCCTATACTTCCTGTATATTACAGTCATGTGTGATAACATGATGTGACAATAAAAAATTACAATGCTTTGCTTTGTGGTGCTTGGTTAATTCGCCTTAAACCAAATAGAAAATTTGCTAATTCGCATTTCCTTTTATTAAACTTTTTATGTTAATATGCACTTCAAATAAGATAATGAAGATACTGTTTTTTTCTAAATTTTAAACAGAAATCAACTTATTCAGTTTATAAATCTTTTTGCACCATGAAATCAGGGGAAAATACACTTGGATCAAGGTAAAATTACCCACTAATAATAACAATTTTGCTGTGTGTGTTTTCAGTACAGTGGCCATAGTCGGGGCCAGGACCCAGAGATGGCAAAAGTACTCACTTTCCGTACTTGAGTAAAAGTACAGATACTTGTGTTAAAAAATACTCTGGTAAAAGTGGAAGTACTGATTAAACTTCTTTACTCAAGTAAAAGTAACAAAGTACAGGCTTGTAAATTTACTTAAAGTATAAAAGTAAAAGTAGAAACCACTTTTTTCATGCTGTTGCCTACATTTTAAATGGATGTCTGCCAATAGGACTAGATCTCCGTTGTGTTCATTTTCAATCATCTCGTCGTCCATACTACTATGCTAACGCCACCGCCGCCAAGCTGCAATGATTTGCCGCGAATAAATACGGCCAAATCTGTCGATTCATCTTGTAGTGGTGCGTCAAATGCAACGTAGATTCCCATCCAATTAGATCGAATTTGGTATTGATGAAGTGAAAAATAATAACGGTAACTCCATTGAAATGATTCAAAACTAAAGTAACGAGCCAATTCTTTAAAATGTAAGGAGTAGAAAGTACAGATATTTGTGTAAAAATGTAAGGAGTAGAAGTAAAAAGTCGCCATAAAAACAAGTAGTAAAGTAAAGTAAAAATATCAGAAAAATCTACTTGAGTACAGTAACGAAGTATTTGTACTTCGTTACTTCCCATCTCTGCCAGGACCTGGTCCAATGGGGCACTGGCCCCTGTAGGCCCCTTGTTTAGAACTGTCCATGTGTTTTTAACATAAAAAAAATTCAATACATTTTTTTATTTTTTTTTTACATATAACTGGAAGTGGGTTGTTATTAGTTACATTTACTCTGTTAAATTACTTGAGTAACTTTTAGGAAAATATGTACTCTTAGGAGTAGTGGTACTTTCCTGTACTTTTTATTTAAATTTTCCGGTTATTCTACCCACCATGTGTAATTTCAAGTATTTGGCGATCCGGTGAAATAACAGTAAACTGTATAGATTTTAGTTTGACGTTTTTTTTTTATTATTTTCTAACATATATTCTTAACTGTACCTACTGGTTGTATAAGTTTATTTTGAAAGTTTGAAAAATGTTTACAGTAATCCATGCAAGTTTTTTCTCATGTCATTTATTTGTATTGTTTATAATTGTAGCATATTTTAAAATACTAGAATTTGCAACTTAACTTAGACTTAGACAGATTTATTTGTCTTTTTTTATCATATCATAAACATATCATGTTATTCATCATTCATTTGTCATATCTCTCTGGTGGCAAAAATTTAAGCAACAAATCAGACGTTACAAGCCAACAAGTACTCAGTACTTCAGAGGTCAATTTTACCAAGTTGCCCTTACTTGAGCAAATTCCTGGATGAAAAATATTAAAGTTATTACAGGAAGAAATTACACCTGTCACCCATTTTATGAACAACACTGGGCCAGGTTGTTTTTTTCAATGTCAATTACTTCAGTTTTTTATTTATTTTTATTATTTATTTATTTATTTATTTTGATAAACTATGTAGATATGTTTTGTTCCAGATTTTTATGTTCCTATGTTACTAAAAACTACTGAAGTAATTTTTTTTTTTGTGTGGAAAAATCTCTGGAGAAGACAATGAACAAGAAATAATCTGACAGAATATGTGTTAGATTTCACCAAAGGGAACTGTCTTACTAAAACAGACAAAAAACAAAAACAAAAAACACAGGCTTTTTCTAGGCTGAGCGACTCGTCCTTAAATTAGACGATCTTTGATTTATTGCAGTTGCTGTAGAACTGCGCATGCGCAGCCCCCCTCCCTTCGCTCCCCTCCGCACTGCTCGGCTCTCAGAACAGGTTGGCCGCCGGGGGACTCCATCCCTGCCGTTACCGCTCTCTATCACTCTCAAACCGGACACTGTCGCTGCTGTTCCCGTCCAACCTCAACCCACGGTTCTCAAGTCGGTCTCGGGATAGAAACTTCGCTACTGTCACAGGAGGCTGGACGACCGTTAGAGATAAACTGTGGAGGTGCTTTCACCAAGGGATTCTCTCATCGCGGAGTTGAGCGGACACTCAGAGGTAAGTGTCCGCTTCATGGGGGGGTGAACCGCTGCCGTATGTCCCGCGCTGCTGGGGTAACTCAGCCTTCTGCTGGCTCACAGTGGGGACTATCTTTTCTGTTCAATTTACGAGTCTTTTAAAGTGTGCGTGATAAGAGGTTTTACGGTGTGTTTAGCCGCAAACCGAGCGGAGGACAGCGAAACGTCCCGAGGGGCTGCTGACTGTGGGGGGGCCGGTGCTCCTGCTAAACCAGAACCTAGCATTTATCCCTCTGTGTTCAGAAAGGGGGTTTAGCGGATGCTTGTTGTCTTTATGTTTGATAAAGTTTGAATAGTTTGTGGATGTTGCGGTCAGTAGTGGAGGCCCACCTGCTCCTGATTGATGGAGCAGCGCCTCCATCCTTCATCATCCATCCTGCTTTCAATAAAGCCTTAAATTCCTGTAGTATATTTAAATAAAGCCATCATTTAACATTTTAGACGATGTTTCATTTATTTCTTTTTTGTTTGGACAAAAAATTGACTATATTTAGTTAAATAATTTGAACAATTGGTCTGTCAATATTCTTATTATAATAGGCAAAAGGTTCTCTATTTTTCTTTATAATCATTGCAACAGTAAGTGATTGGATTAACTTTAATATACCACTAAAGCCAACAGCTAAAACAGTGACTTTCTAAAACAGTGACTTTCTCACTTTTGCATCATAGTTAGACATTTAATCCAATTAAACATCAGCTACTGGGGATTTTTTTTTTAATCTGTACTTTAAAGGGGTCATAAAATGATTATAAGGTATTTTAGGTCTCTGAATAGGGTGTGTAACATCGGTTGGGCTGAAAATGGCATATTTGCTGTTCTATGAGCCTTAATGCAAGCCTGGTTTAAAGCCCCAGAATGAAACGACAGGTTTTCTTCCTTTTATGGTATGCTCATGAATATTTAGATGAGCTGAGCTCTGATTGGTTGGTTTACAACGAGCGAAGCTGCTGAGCAAAGAAGCATCATAGCAACAAGCACTCACTCACTGAAACATGAAATTGTTGATATGGTAGGGTGACAAGACGTCCTCTTTTTCCCCCGGAAATGTCCTACTTTTCTTACCTAAAAAAATTTCGGTAAGGGGGGGGTTCAAAAAAAAAGATTTTGGTCGAATAGAGTGCAGCACGTAGTCGAAACACACCGTGCATTCGAACCGAGCTGTCAGCTCTGGGTCTGGTCCGGGATCTCCGGCGGACGGGGGCAGGTAGTCATCTGGGGATGGAGCAACCGTACCCGACCCAGTTATAGTAGCCTGGCCAACGGGGCCTGGTCCAATCCAGTCAGCTTCCCAGCAGCCCCTCCTCCCGGTGCATGACAAATGTACATGCATGAACCAAATAAGGCAACATCCATGAATTGACGTCAATTTGGGGATTCATTTAAATTTGTTTGTTTTATGGTGGAAGTTTAGAATTGTGAGATTTGCAGAGAAAGGAGGTGTTGATGGGGTCTGAACTTCTCTGTACGTCCATTTCACCCACTGAACTATCGTTATTCATCTATGACAATGTAAACTCGGTTTTGCATTCTATGACCCCTTTAAAGGAAAAGTCTATATTCATAATTCAAACTTCTGAAAGTACTTAAAATATGAAATGATTACATATTGTTCAATAAATTTAAATTTTTAAATAACAGTAATTTTCATTTGAATGTGCTTTACTGGAGGCAACCATGTTTGTCAAAGACCACTACTGCCACCCACTGGTTTGTGACGTCACGGTGCGGTATCGGCTGTTGAGCAAGTCCCGGTGCTGTATCTGGTGTTTGTCACAACACGATATAATACAAGTCATCTTGAAAACATTCTTCTTCCAAATTTTGGCTGCATATTACGTGTTTTTTCTCTGGCCAGAAGTTCGATGGCAAATCCTCCCTCTTCAGGTTGGCAATCCAACGACAAACCCGTTCTTGGAGGATCATGAATCGGAAAGTTGAAATAACTCTTTATTTCACTTTTACCCGATGTATTACAACATCCAACTGCCATGCACGTGGGCATTGTCAGTTTAACTATAGCTCTGGTGAATTTCAATGGTGAAGTCCTCTGGAAATCTTCAATGTTGTTGTTGATTGCAGATGTGTCTAGTAGCTCCCATTGATTTTGCTTGTAAAGCGAGGACAATAGCGCTAGGCTTACCGCACTCGACGGAAGATGTCAGGAGTGAGGTGTTGTTATGTTTGGGCAATAATGGCACCGGACTCGGTGTTCGCTGCGAAAATTATTTGTTTTTATTTTTTTACTGATTAATTCTAAATTCATTAAATCACAAAGAATGCATTGGTTTTAGGTATAGATAATTATCCACTGATTATTCCATGCTGACCTGACTTTTCCTTTAAATGCTTTTCATTCAACCAACATTGCATTCTAAAAAAATATATGTTTTTATGGAACATAAAACATGTGTCTAATTAGAAGCTTGGAAGAGCTTGGGTATTTTTAGAGCAGTTTTCCAGTCCAGCTGTTTATGAATGATGAGGAAACTGCTGAAGATCCTCCTGTCCTCCTGGGAAATAACTCTGACATGTTTCTGACAGTCAGATCTCTGCAGCAGCTGGAGGGGAAAAAAAAGATAAAACTGAGACTAAATTAAAGCTACAGTGTGTAATTTTCAGCGACATCTAGCGGTCAGACTGCAGACCGCAGCAACATGAACATCTCCCCCCCACCGCTTCTCCCCCCCCAACAGTACGGCGAGCGTTACGGGACAAAATGTCTTCCACGACGTCCACATCACCTACCTTCTCAAGTGATGAGGTTTGTTTACATAGATAATTTTACAGATAGTATTTTATTAGTCTGTGTAGGGTATAGATTTCATGTAGACTTTAGATAATAAATATACCCGTTATTTTTTCTACATCGTTGTGACGTTTTGGTGAGCTGCTTTGCATGGTGATATAAACAGACGAAGTAATAGACTCTATGCACAGCTCCACTACTTCCTGAATTTAAGGCAGCTCCTTTGTTTCCTGTCTTTCATGATTGGATGCACTGATTAATCCAGGTGTGTATGACCTAAGTAACTGGCCAGACACACCTGGATTAATCAGTTCGTCCAGTAATGAAAGACAGGAAACAAAGGAGCTGCCTTAAATTCAGGAAGTAGTGGAGCTGTGCATAGAGCCCATTGTAGTCATTAGTTTAACAGCGAGATTGTGTTCGCTGGAAGAATACATATTCCCCGTTTACAGAGTCCAAGTCATTTTGGTGGCACGGGGGTTACAAGGCAAGGAAGAGGAAGAGAACTTTATTATAGCCAGGCTTATATATATATATATATATATATATATATATGTATATATATATATATATATATATATATATATATACATACGTATATATATATATATATATACATATACATATATGTATATATATATATATATATATATATATATATATACATACGTATATATATATATATATATACATATACATATATGTATATATATATATATATATATATATATATATATATATATATATATATATATATATATATATATACATGTATATATATATATATATATATATATATATATATATACATGTATATATATATACGTATATATATATATACATATATATGTATATATATATACTGTATATATACATACATATACATATATATATATATATATATATATATATATATATATATATACATATATATAAGCCTGGCTATAATAAAGTTCTTCACTGTGAACTACTCCTCGGCTAGTCTTTCTCAAAAAATGCTGAAATCTTAAAAACTGTTTATAGACAGGAAGTGAGGTCACAATATGATTTCACAGTGGGTGTTATCACATGCAGCACAGTGACATCACTCACATGGAATTGTGTGGACGTGGTCGTTTGAAGAGACCACGCCCACACAATTCCATGTGACCACACCCCCTGTGACATCATATTCTGACCTCACTTGCTGTCTATAAACAGGCAGTTATTTTGCTACAAGAAGCAGTCTCCACAGGTCTACGAGAATCCTACCTAGTCTGAAAAAATAGTTTACTGCTGAGGAGTAGTTCACAGTGACCAATTCTTCAGGTAGGTAAAATATTTACCAGACGTAATTAAAATGGATTTAGAAACGTTTTTTCCTGATAAAAATGAAGATACCAATACTGATACCTATACCAATACTGATACCTATACCGATACCGAAACCGATACCGATACCGAAACCGATACCGATACGGAGGAAAAAAACGAACCTGTTCCCAGACTTAGGTGGAAACAATGTATAACGCAAGTACAACTTAATAACCAAATCAAAAACCCGGCTGAAATAATTCAAGATTTAATGATAAAACTCCAACAATCAAATAATAACGCTGACTCTTACTTAAGTAAGCTAGTCCAAAAAGATCAGGAAGTAATAGTTTTAAAAAAACTTTTGGCGGATTATAAACACAAGGAGGCTATGGGAATTCAGGTAACGGATCAAAATAAACCCATTTCTCGTGAATTCTTAAAAAATGATTCGGATCAATTTCAGGCTAAAATAAAATTACTGGAAAAAGAAAAGGTGCACCTGCGTGAACAAGTTTTGAAGCTAAAAGAAAAACTTAAGCTCAAAGACCAGGATTTTAAAAATGCTATCGAGCAGGTCAGTATGAAAGCGAAGGAGAACACTGGTTTAAAGACTGAAATCAAAAATCTTAACCACAAGCTCTCTAAGAAGAACAAAGCTATGCTAATTCTGGAAAATGCCAGTAAAGCAGAGACCCAGAAGCTTCAAAATATTCTAACGTCTCTCAAAGACGCAGAAAAAGAGGTTGATGAGTCTAGGGAACAAACACAATTACTGCTTCAAGAAAACAAGAGCTTGGATGAAGAAGTTTTAGAGTTGAGAAGAAAACTCGAAGAGAACGAAAATATTTTAACACAAAGAGATAAACAACTTAAACTGAAACATGTGGATTTAAAGAAAGCTACAGAAATGGTCAAGAGGAATGGTGAGCGCATT